GACATTTTAAGCGCCACCAAAATGCAACTCTTCATCCCTTGCCTTCCTGTCCTAAACCTGACATTCTTCCACCTCCTGCTGCCTCAGAGGCTGACCTGCAGCTGTTACCCGCCACCGTCTCTGGCCCCACCTCTTCTCTCCCACCGTCTCTGGCCCCACCTCTTCTCTCCCACCGTCTCTGGCCCCACCTCTTCTCTCCCACCGTCTCTGGCCCCACCTCTTCTCTCCCACCGTCTCTGGCCCCACCTCTTCTCTCCCACCGTCTCTGGCCCCACCTCTTCTCTCCCAAAGCTCCCACAGTCCCAGTGCTTCCTTCTGGATGACCCCATTGATTTCTATTATATGTTCATATGTCACCTGAGAAGTGGGTAGAGACCCGACTCCCCATCCCAAGCTGTCTTTCCTGGGACCAGAAATCACCTGAGGCTCCCATCTACCTCCCTAAACACACACACACACACAGACCAAGTGTCTCTTCCCTGCCAAATCCTGTTCTCAAGCCTGGTTCACCCCCATGGCCTGAAGTGCCTACCACCAGCCTGGCCCAAGTCAGCAGCAATCTGGCAGCATCTAACTATCCCCAGGATGACTATTGGCTTGACACCCTACCAGACTTCTGGTTGCCCAGTCTCCTGTGGCCACAGCTAAGAAGCTGAGGCTTTGATAAGTAGACAGCACTCTTAGGCCCTTAAGGTCACCCATGCCTTGCAGCACAGCCAACAGAGGTGAGAAGCATGGCTTCTGTTCCAGGGGACCCGCTGTGTACCCCATTCCGATATTTACTGAGTAATTACCAAATGCACACCACCTGCTGACTGTCTCACAAAAGGCAGCTTGGCATCATAAGGACATGGGCTTCACAGTCGGGCGTAGGTTCAACTCCCAGGTCTGCCACTTAGTAGTTGCGTGACCTTGAGCAAGATACTAACCTTTCTGTGCCTCAGCTTTCCATCTGTAGAATGGGACTGACCACAATAGTACCTCCCTCATAGGATTGCTCTGAGGAATAAATGAGTTAACAGGAAAACAGTGGCTGCGATGTAGTGGGGGCCACACAAGTATTAGCTGTCATTATTCACGTGCAGTGGCTCATTGGCTCACTGACTTCTCACAACCACCCCATTTTACAGATGAGAATACTGAGGCTAGAGAGACAAACCAGCCCAAACCTTAGCATCTCCAGCATCCATGTTCTCAACCAGTGAGGCCATGGCCCAAATCCCCTCAGTCATGCAGTTAGGCCTCCATTCCCAAGGCTTGAACTGGGCAAACCTTCCCCATTCATATATGAGATCACTTATCATCTTAGTAGGAAACATGCTCTGAGTTGATTCAAGGGTAGGAAATGCCTCATACTTAAAAAGAGTTCGTTTCATAAAAACAGAAACAAAAGCCCTTATTGATTAGCACCTGACCAAGCCACTCCACTAACAGAAAAATGATATGGTAGCAGAGCAAGGGCTCAGGGTTCCAAGTTTTGACTGGATGTTGTCAACGAGCATTTCCTTTTTGCCCAGGGAATATCAGAGAATTGTTCACACAGAGACAGCGACCGCAGATGGGGCACTCGTGCCTTCAGCTGCAAAAGGTCATCTGGCGGAAGCACATTGGTCCCGGGCAGTTTCTTGGGCCATGTGGCATAACCGCCAGGTTATACTTCTGCAATTACAGTCCCCAGGGACCTGCCGCGTGAAACAGATATTGGTTGTGGTCCTTTAAAAAGCCTCAAGCAGTGGCTCCTTCAATACAAGGAAACCCTGGGGAAAGAAAAGTTTACTTTTGCTCAGGTTTTATGGTGACAACCAGCGTGATCAGCAGGAACGCTGCAGTTGGGTGACGCACGAGGCTCAGGAGCCTTTGCACTTGACTTTGAAAGATTATAAATACACCAGGCTCGCCAAGCATAGCCAGCCAGTTAGAAATTACAAGTCATCTTTCGGTTGTTGCTGAACTTCCTTTATACCTCTTGTTTTGAACACAGTGAGCAAACAACGTCGAATCTTTTGGCTGTGGAGTTCCAAGTACACCACAAAGCACCGGGACACACCTTTGCCCCAGCCGCTCTGTGTGGTTGCAGATTAACCAGATATGCAGCTAGGAGTTCACCTAAAACCTTCCTTTCCCTGGTACGTACCTAGGTGTTGATTTGAAGGCTGGATTCTGACTATTGAGTGTTCAGGGATAGTTACTTCATTAACACTTCTGAGATTTCCCCCATTTGCTTGAAGATAAAAACAGGCAAAGGTATAAACAGATAAACAGTCACGCGGATAAATAGCTGTGTGGGCCACTACTTTTAAAGCATAGTAGATGTTATTTGTGTTTGGAGAAGCTTAATGGTACACTCAAGAATCCAATAGCAGAAATTGTTTGCTTTCAGGAAGAAAACGTTAGAGCAGTAAGGTATGTTTGAAGAAAAGAACTACGTAACAGCAATTCACAATACACCCGTTCATTTGTAGCATGATAGTTACACCTGCTCACTGGGGCTTCTTTTAGATTTCAGTCTTTGATGTAAGACACATGCACACACATGCGCACACACAATGGTAAGCACGCATGCTCTCCAGCTTCAGCCTTCAGTGCCCAACAAAACGAAAAAGACACTTGAATCATCTGTCTCAGCCCCAGCTAGAGCCTATGTCTTCCAACATGCATTTTAAAATACCTTTTTGCCTTGTAAAACATGCTGCAGAGGATGTTTAGTTTCTCCGGGTCCTTTGTAATTAATCTCTGTATTCATCATAATTGAAAGAAAAGCTCAAAGTAAGAAAATAGCTTTCCTCCAAGTTTATTGCAATCAGAGAAAAATACAATTGACGTGTTTTTCTTCTCCGTTACTGATCCTTAGATGCACTAGCTAGAATGGTTCCAGGTGTATAAGCCAGTGGGCTGGGATACCTGGTCAGACCACGTTACAACCCGGTTCTTTCCCCTTTTTGTACTTCTCCCATACAATACAGTATTGAGTAGTTCATAACCTAGGGGTACACGTTTTTGTCAATGTGGCTAAGCCAGGCGGCATTGAGGACTGTCCTGGGGACAGCCTGGTGCAGCCTTACCCAGGCTCCCGCACTCACACCCCTCCATGCTCTAGTGGGCTGTATCAGTTACAGCAGATAAATGGCCCAGAATGGCTTCCTGTTGGGGAAAAAGGAGACAAAGACTTCTGCACTTAAAACCCTGGTACCAAAAGTAATCCAGGGGAAATCAGTATTACTAAGAATATCCTGTGACTGTGGTGGTGTTGAGTTTAAAGACAGCATGGCTGAAGTATGACCATCCACCCAGTCACATGAGCCAAAAACCCAGGCACTGCCCGCTTCCTGACCTCCAGCTTCCTTCCCACGGCCCGTTGGTTAGAACGTGTAGGGAATGTACCTCTCCCAGCCCTGGAATCCACTCACCATCTTCACCCCTCACCACCTTCAAAGACCTTCCTGACCAAGTGTGGTCTGATCACACTTGATCCAGAGCCCGTCTTCTGGGCTCTCAGTTCCTCATCACATCACAGCCTCGTGATCATGCACCTCTCACCATCATGTGCTTAGATACGTGTGTGTCCACCTCACTCGCACATTGTGAGGTCCTTGAGAGCACGCTGTCTCTTTCATTTCCTAAATGAAATGGCCTAAAATGAAGGTGCTCACTTACTAAACAATATAAAATAAATATACAATACAATATAGAAAATAATTTTTATCCCTTGCCCCGTCTGAGATGGCAAATGAGTAAAGTTTACAAGTATGAATATAGTCAGCATCCCACTAAGACCACACAGAAGCTGAGATGACCACAGGACACGTATGAGCAGATGTAAAATAAACTACGGGAACTGTGACAGCTTCCAGCGCTCTTCATTACAAATATCAGCAATTGCTAACATTCGATAATGTGTCAAACACTCTACATTAAATCACCCCAAGTCTCTAAGGCAGGTGTTAGTTTTCTCTTTGTATAGCCCAAGAAGCAGAGACAAGAGTCACACAACAGCCAATACAGAGAAAAAATTCAAACCCAGATACCTTCTGTCTCCAAATCCCACCCTCCTCCCACCGTCTCCTGCTGCCTCTCTGTTTCAAAGCTTGGCTGTGACACTGTGAGCACTGCCAACATTTCACAACAGTTTGCGTATGTCATGGTCTGCAAAAGCTGTGGATGGCACTGGTGGCAGCCTCAATAGAAGGCTGGGGCTGCTTACCAGAGGGAGCATTTCCTGAGCAACGATCACACCTGCTGTTCGTTCTTTTTCTCTCTCTCTCTCCCTTTTGTTTTTTTTTAAATATAAACAGGGTCTCACTCTGTTGCTCGAGCTGGAGTGCAGAGGCATGATCATGGCTTACTGCAGCCTCAAATTCCTGGGCTCAAGTGATCTTCCTGCTTCAGTCTCCCAAGTAGCTGGGACTACAGGCCTGCACCAGCATGCCTGGCTAATTTCTTTATTTTTATTTTATTTTTGTAGAGACGAGGTCTCATCAAGGCTGATCTTGAACTCCTGGACTCAAGAGATCTTCCCATCTCAGCCTCCCAAAGTGCTGGGATTACAGGTGTGAGCCACCACTCCTGGTACACACCTGCCCTTTATCCACGACCCACACCCTCAGGCTCGAACTCAAAAGGAAGGAGCAAACCCTCGAAGCTCCGTAAGTCAAGCATAAAGCATATCTTGACCTGTTATGTGCTCATGAACAGGCAACTTGACTACATGTTCTCCTCAAGCTATGGTGGAGCAACGTCCCCATAAAGCCATTGTCACCTGAAAATAGTCAAAGTCTAAAATGCTTTGAATACACCTAACCTATCGAACTTCTCAGCTCGGCCTCGCCTCCCTTAAATGTGCTCCGAACACTTAAGGGAGTGTTAACTGTAGCGATGTTGCCTACAGTGGGCAACATCATCTAACACAGGCCTATCTACGTTATAATAAAGTGGTGAGCATGTCATGTGATTTATTGAATACTATACTGAATGTGAAACAGAATGGTCGTCCGGGTACTCACCATTAGCTGACACAGCTGAACGCACGCTGCCCCTGAAGAGTGTTTGAAGGCATCGAACTAAAATTAATTGCTGGGTGATGGGGATGGCAAGACGACAGGGTCATCAATTTCTCCCGTTTCTGCTGAGGCTGGAGAATTGTGGGTAGAAGGCACTAGAGCATCAGCGCTTGATGGTTTAGCAGGCCTAGTGTTCTAACTTCAGGAAGGCATCAAGAGTCTCTGGTTTATCCTTCTGATGGCAGGGCTGCCTGGACGCTTCGGCTAGCAGCCACCGCCCAGCGTCAAGTGTCATACAGCACATCCCTTGCCTGTGGGATAAAGCCCAGACTTCAGAATCTGAAGTGCACTTTTTTATTCTTTTTTGAGACACAGTCGTGCCCTGTCCCCCCAGGCTGGAGTGCGGTGCAGTGGCGCAATCTCGGCCCACTTACCCTCCGCTCCCAGGTTCAAGTGATTCTCCTGCCTCAGTTTCCTGAGTAGTTGGGACTACAGGCATGTGCCACCATGCCTGGCTAATTTTTTGTACTTGTAGTAGAGACGGGGTTTCACCCTGTTGGCCAGGATGGTCTTGATCTCCTGACCTCGTGATCTGCCTGCCTTGGCCTCCCAAAGTGTTGGGGTTACAGGCGTGAGCCACTGTGCAGGACCTAAAGTGTACTTTCCACTAAATGCTTGCCACTGTCATACGATCCTGAAGTTGAAGCTGGAACTCTCTAGGCTTGCACCTGTTGCCTGAAGGATGTATTAGAAACAATTAAGGGATCTGCTAGCCCCTGAGCGAGACAGTTCCCTCCAACCCCTCCCACTTCATTTGTGGAAAGATCTCAGGTCTCCCTCCTAGAAAGGGATTCAGTCCCAGAGACACTCAGGACCAAGGTGGCACTCCCAGGGCTCCAGGCTCTGGAGACGAGGATGTGGAGGGAAGGGGTGGGGGGATGTCACCCTGGGAAACCACATGTAACCTAGATCCTCAGTAGTTAAGTGGGACTGACTCCTAGATGGAAATAGCCCCGGAAGACTTGTCCCCGCAAGAATTCTGGTCTCCTTGGATACCTAGCATGCTCAAGAGCCCACCTCATTGATGAAAAAGGCGGAGAGGCCCTAGCAGGAGTCAGGCGGATTATAGCAGCAGGGCAAACCCTTAGCCAAAACACTTCAGCATACTGTGTGTACTCAGGGGAGTGGCTGAGACTAGCAGGTTGGGGAAGGAAAAGGAAGAGGACCTTTTCTGTGCCAAGTCCTAGCGCTTCGGCACCATACCAGGAGCCAACATGAAAAATACCGTCTGCAGCAGACGCTGCTCTCGCCTCATGCAAAACCACCCCAACCTCCCCTAGCAAGATTTCCTGTGCACCAAAGCCTGCGACACTGAAGATCTCTTCCTCCGAAGTCCCTTGCACTAGGGTTTCCCCTGAGCATTCTTCCAGGTTGATTATAATAATAATAACATCTCAGCCAGGCGGATGCGCTAGTGCCTGGCAGAGGCTGAGCATTTTAAGCGGCCACCACACTGCCTCTCTGGAAGCACAGAGGTGGAGATGCTTTGGACGTCCTCCAGCAGGAGTGACAGCGGCACTATGTCCAGTCAGTCTCTAATCTCGGGGGCAGTCAGCAGCATCAGCACGGCTTCCTGGTGCAGCAGCTTTCCGGCCTGCAGCACAGGCAGTGTGGTTTTTGAGTTCACAGGGAAAGCAGCACGTACAGTGGCGATCTGGCCAGGCCAGTTTTACAGTGTGGTTCTGAGGTGGCACCTGGATCTGGACCCACTCTGCAGCCTCCGCCAGCCCTTGCCATCATTCGGTAGCCCAGTGGTTCTCCAAGGGTGGGCTCTGGAGCAGCAGCAGCTGGGAACTTATTAGCAATGCACATTCTTAGGCCCCACCCCAGACCCACTGAACCAGAAACTCTGGGGGTGGGACTCGGTAGGCTTGACTTTAACAAGCCGCCTAGGTGATTCTGATGGACCCTAACGTTTAAGGACCTCTGCTGAAAGCCAACCGCCTACAACAAATCCATTTCTACTTTAACTAGAGCGGATCCTGCTGTCTGCAGCTTTATTCTGACTGAATCATAGTCGCTGCCCTATTGTTGTCCATGAGGAAGTCAATCAATGACAAAGCAACATGTCGTTCTGGGGGAAGAAAAGTACAGGGTCACCTTACCCAGCCAAGAATGGTGACCTCCCAACTATATAATCTAGACTTTGTAACATTGTGAACATGCACCCTCAATAGTTACATTTATTTCTTAGTTTTATATACACTTTATTAAATATTTTTAAATTATATAAATAGAAACCTAAAAGATGAGGGTTTTTTTAAGTGAATATAAATTAAACTTCTAATACTTTCTTCCTGAATCTCTAAGGATTGATTTGGCACTTCAGTGAGCACTGGTCTAGAATGTCAGGATAACCTTTGGCAAAAGTAACAGCAGAATCTAAGGAATTAAAAGGAGGGTGCACCATATTTTTATGGAACTTAGGCAAGGGAGCATCAGGAGGTGACAATGACAATAATGATGATGATGACAATGACGATAATACTCATTTTCGAGAACTAACGTGATCACTTAGCCTTAAAAGCAACCATGCAAGGTAGAACTATTATCCCTGCTTTTCAGATTGGGAAACTGAGGCTCAAAAGTCTCCAATCTGGTAAGTGGCAGAGTGGGGTTTTGAAACCAAAATCTGAGTCCTACCATTGCCAGTTCTGGGCTTGGGCTACTGTATGGCTGGAAGAGCCATCTACTGAGACAGAGAATTCAGGAAGAAGAGCAGGTTTGGAGAGAAGACGGTAAGTTTTGTTTCGATGTTTGAGGTGCCCGTGATGTATTCTGGTGAAGCTGTCCAATACACAACTTAATATATGAAGCTGCAGAACCCAAGTCTGGCTGCGGAAAAAGGGTTGGAAAACTTTAACTTCTTAGTGGAAGGTGAAAATACTTATTTTGTTGTGAGCACCATGATGAATAGGAGCAAGGGCCAGGTACAGCGACTCATGCCTATAACCTCAGAACTTTGGGAGGCTGAGGCAGAAGGACTGCCTGAGCCCAGGAGTTCGAGGCTGCAGTGAGCTATGATTGTGCCACTACACTCCACTACTTTGAACTTTTCTTCCAATTATGATCAATGCAGAGATTAATTACAAAGAACCCAGATAAACTTAGTAAGCCTGGGCAACAGAGCAGACCCTGTCTCAAAATAAATAAACAATTCTAAAATTTTGTAAAAAGAAGAAAGGAAGCTGGGTGCAGCGGCCAAGTGAGGTGACTCATGCCTGTAATCCCAGCACTTTGGGAGGCCAAAGCAGGAGAATCACCTTAGATAGATCAAGAGTTCGAGACCAGCCTGGCCAACATAGCGAAAACCCATCTCTACTAAAAAAAAAAAATTTAAAAATTAGACGAGGAGTGGTGGCTTATGCTTGTAATCCCAGCACTTTGGAAGGCTGAGGTGGGAGGATCACCAGTTCAAGAGATTGAGACCATTCTGGCCAACATGGTGAAACCCCATCTCTACTAAAAATAGAAAAAATTAGCTGGGTGTGGTGGCACATGCCTGTAGTCCCAGCTACCCGGGAGGCTGAGACAGGAGAATCAATTGAACCTGGGAGACAGAGGTTGCAGTGGGCCGAGATCTTGCTACTGCATTCCAGCCTGGCGAGAGACTCCGTCTTAAAATAAACAAACAAATAAATAAATAAAAATAATTTTAAAAATTAAAAAAAATTAGCCAGGCCTGGTGGCGGGCACCTATAATCCTACTCAGACGACTGAGGCAGGAAGGATCGCTTGAACCTGGGAGGTGGAGGTTGCAGGGAGAAAAAAATAAAAAGAAAAAAAGGAGCAAGTGGAGAGGGAACATGGAAAAGACAGTGGGGTGGGTGGGGGTGGGGTGGGACGGTGGGTAATGAATGGAGCCAGCTTCTCCGCCAGCTAGGTGGGGACAAGATGGTGAGCACTGCTGGGATTGTTAGCTTTGGTCAGGAGGAGGGACAGAAATCACACAGCCCTGGGCTTGAATGCCAGCTCCATCTTTTTCTAGCTACACAAGCATAGTAATGAAGCAATGAATCTCACAGCCTGTTTCCTCTTCTGTAAAATGAGAACAGTAATATATCTCCATCTGATAGAAATGGTATGCTGATTAAATGAGAAATGGTGTAAAGTGCATATCTGTGTTTAGCCCAGAGAAAGAAGTCAGTATTTATTAACTATAATTAGCTAACTGTCATTATAACTGGTATTGTTCTCTGAGCTAGGAATGAAGCAGGTAAGGATGAGTGCAAATGGCGGTGACCTTATAGCAAGGGAGCATAAGAGCTCAAAAGAATCATTAGCTGACTTTAACTTCTGGGCCAAGTCAGGGGCAAAGTCAAGAACTAAGAATGAGAGGAGCAGAGGCAGGGGAGAGGCTTGAGGAGAAGGGCACAAACCCTTAAGAACCACACTGAGGAATAAGACAGGAAATGAATTAAGTTCACCCGAAAGGACCTCCGAGTAGCAATAACAGCATTAATCAATATGCTATCACAAAGCACACTCAAAAGAGCAAAGTTAGAGACTTAACACTTCTTAATTTCAAGACTTAGTATAAAGCTACAGTAATCAAGACTGTGTGGCACAGTACTGACACAAAGACGGATACAAATACCAACAGAACAGAATTAAAAGAATACACGTGTGGACAACTGATACATGACAAGGATATAAAAGCAATTCATCCACAAAGAAATAGTCTTTTTCAACAAATGATACTGAAACCATTGAACATCCATATGCAAAAAAAAAAAAAAAAAAAAGAACTTTGATTCATACCTTGTACTATATACAAAAATTAACTCAGAGTAGACCACAGACCTAAATGTAAAACTTAAAACTGTAACATTGTTATAGAAAACATAGGAGAAAATCTTGGTGTGTTTGGATTAGACCAGGATTTCTTAGATACGACCCCAAAAGTACAAGCTTATAGCTTATAGCTATCAATCAAGAAAGACTGATAACTTAGCCTTCATTGAAATGGAAAACTTCTGCCTTTTGAAAGGCACTATTAAGAGAATGAAAACACAAGCCATAGACTGGAGAAAATATTTGCGAAGTATGTATGTGATAAAGGTCTTGTATCCAGAATACATACCGACCTCTCAAAACTATGATAAGACAATAAATAATCCAATGAAAACAATGAGTAAAGCTTTGAGCAGACACTTCATTAACAAAAGATGCACGGATGCCAATGATGCTCAGCATCATTAGGGAAATGCAAATTAGCATCGCAGGGACATGCCACTGCACATCTATTCGA